ATACCAAAAGACAACAGACCACACTCTGAAAATACAAACTGATGATCAGAACCAGACTCAGATAGGACACAGATAGGGAATTTAAAATAAGTATGACTAATATGTTGAGGGCTCAAATGGAAAAAAATTAGTATGTAAAAACAGATGGATAAAGTAAGCAGACAAATGGAAACTCTATGAAGGAATCAGAAGGACATGCTAGAAATAAAAATTACAGAATAGAAATGAAGGATGCCTTCAATAAATTCATCAGTAGACTGCATATGGCCAAGGAATCAGTGAGCTTGAATACAGATTCATATAATGTCCCAAACTGAAATGCAAAGAGAAAAAATAATTAAAAAAAAATCAGAATCCAGAATCTACAAGGAGCTCAAACAAATTTACAATGAAGAAAACCAAACAACCCCATTAAAAAGTGGGCAAAGGATGTGAACAGACACTTCTCCAAAGAAGACATTCATGCAGCCAACAAACATGAAACAAAGCTCAACATCACTGATCATTAGAGAAGTGGAAATCAAAACCACAGTGAGATGCCATCCCATGCCAGTCAGAATGGCTATTATTAAAAAGTCAGGAAACAACAGATGCTGGTGAGGTTGTGGAGAAATAGCAATGCTTTTACATTGTTGGTAGGAATGTAAATTAGTTCTACCATTGTGGAGACAGTGTGGCGATTCCTCAAAGACACAGAACCAGAATACCATTTGACCCAGGAATCCAATTACTGGGTATATACCCAAAGGAATGTAAATTATTCTATTACAAAGATATATACATGCATATGTTCATTTCAGCACTGTTCACAATAGCAAAGACATGGAATCAACCCAAATGCCCACCAATGTTAGACTGCATTAAGAAAATGTGGTACATATACACCATGGAATATTATGGAGCCATAAAAAGGAATGAGATCATATCCTTTGCAGGGCCATGGATGAAGACGGAAGCCATTATCCTGAGCAAACTAATGCAGGAACAGAAAACCAAACACTGCATGTTTTCACTCATAAGTGGGAGTTGAACAATGAAAACATATAGACACAGGGAGGGGAACAACACACACTGGGGCCTGTTGGGTGTTGGGGTAGGTGGAGGGAGAGCATTAGGAAAAATAGCTAATGTATGCCAGGCTTTATACCTAGGTGATGGATTGATAGGTGCAGCAAACCACCATGGCACATGTTTACCTATGGAACAAACTTGCACATCCTGCACATGTACCCAAGAACTAAAAATAAAAATAAATCAGAGCAGAACAGCCAAGAAATAGTGGATAATATAAAAAATGTGTAAGGGATACTTGGATAAGAAGAGGGAGAAGAAAAGAGAAGAAAGCAAAAGAAATATTTCAAGTAGTAACGACCAAGAATTTTGCAAAATGAATGACACAAATCCAGGAAGTTCAGAGAATAACAAACAGGATAAAAAACAAAATGCCTTGAGGCATATCCTGTCCAGCTGCAGAAAACCGAAGATAAGGAGAAAAATCTCAAAAGGAGTCAAAAAGGGGAAATACCCTATCTTATCTGTAAGTGAATAATGATAAGAATTACTGCAGACATCTCATCAGAAACCATACGAGCAAGAAGGAAGTAGAGTAAAATATTGACAGAAAAAACCACTGACTTAGCATAGAATTCTGTGAAGTAGTCCTCAAACATGAAGGAGAAATAATGACTTTCTAAGATAAGCAAAAATGGAGAGAATTCATAGCAGACTTGCTCTGCAAGAAATGTTAAAAGGTCTTTAGCAGAAGAATAATGACGTAAAGAAAGGGAGAACAATGGAGAAATAAGAATAAAATAAGATCTTTTTCAAAATTCTTAACGGGTCTAAAAGATAACTGTTTTTAAAGTAGTAACAGTAATGATATAGTAGGTAATTATAGCATATGGATCAGTGAAGTGATTGGCAGCCATCTGAGTCAGGAAGGAGGAATTGGGAATTCTGTTACAAGGTATCTTAACTACATGTAAAACAGTAAAGTGTTATTTGACGGTGAACTTGGATTAGCTAAAAATGCGCTTTCTAAGTTCTAGGATAACCACTGAAAATATTTAAATAGAAATATAGTTGATATGCTAAGAGAAAACATAAAATGCTCACTTAAAACCTGAGAAGTTGGCTGTGTCAGTAGCTCACACCTGTAATCCCAACATTTTAGAAGGCTGAGGCTGGAGGATCCCTTGAGACCAGGAGTTTGAGACCAGCCTGGTAACATATTGAGACTGTGTCTCTACAAAAAATACAAAAGTTAGGCCAGGTGCGGTGGCTCATGCCTGTAATCCTAGCACTTTGGGAGGCTGAGGCGGGTAGATCACCTGAGGTCGGCAGGTCGAGACCAGCCTGACCAACATGGAGATTCCCCATCTCTACTAAAAATACAAAATTAGCTGGGTGTGGTGGCACATGCCTGTAATTCCAGCTACTTGGGAGGCTGAGGCAGGAGAATCACTTGAACCTGGGAGGCAGAGGTTGAGGTGGGCTGAGATCACGACACTGTACTCCAACCTAGGCAACAAGAGTGAAACTCTGTCTCAAAAAACATAAATAAGTAAAAAATTAAAAAATTAGGCAGGTTAGGTGTTGTGTGCCTGTAGTCCTAGCTACTTGGGAGGCTATGGTGGGAGGATGGCTTGAGTCCAGGAGGTTGAGGCTGCAGTGAGCTATGATGGCACCAATGCACTCCAACCTGGGTGACAGAGTGAGCCCCTGTCTCAAAAAATAAAGAAAGAAAAGAAAAGAAAAAAGAAAAGAACAACGAAACACCTGAAAGGTCACAAAACAAGGCTGGGGGAAGATAGCTTTGTATTTTTTCAGAGAAGGACAAGTAGATCTAAGGAACAAAACAGATATTGGGTTCAGATCTCGAATCATGATTATTTGGAAATGTTGATATATAAGAAACATGGCATTGCAGATCAGTGGGAAAAAGATCAGCTGCAAAAACAACTGGATATTTCTTTGGAAATAAATTTAACTGGATTTCTCCCATAAGCCATTCACATAAACAAATACCTATACTTTAATGTGAAATCTTATTGCTAGCATTTCCTATGATGTATTGATCTATATACAGATCATCCCAAATTTATGATGGCTCGACCTACAATTCTTTGACTTTACAATGGTGCAAAGTGATAGGCATTTAGTAAAAACTCTCTCGAGTACCCAAATAACCATTTTGTTTTTCACTTTCAGTATGGCCGGTATCCAATAAATGCCAAGATATTTTCCACACTTTATTAGAAAATAGGTTTCCTGTGAGATGATTTTGCCCAACTGTAGGCTAATGTAAGTGTTTTGATATGCCAAGCTACTCTGGGATGTTCAGCAGGCATACTAAATGCATTTTGTTTTTTTGAGGCGGAGTTTTGCTCGTCGCCGAGGTTGGAGTGCAATGATATGATCTCAGCTCACTGCAGCCTCCGCCTCCTGGGTTCAAGCAAGTCTCCTGTCTCAGCCTCTCAAATAGCTGCGATTACAGGTGCCTGCCACCATGCCTGGCTAATTTTTGTATTTTTTAGTAGAGACAGAGTTTCAGCATGTTGGCCAGGCTGGGGGTCCTGAACTCCTGACCTTAGGTGATCCACCCACCTCACCCTCCCAAAGTGCTTGGTAACAGGTGTGAGCCACCACACCCAGCCTACTAAATGCATTTTTGACTCACATATTTTCAACTTATATGTGAAAATATGTGAGTTCATCAGGATATAACCCTACCATAAGTCAAGGAGTATCTGTATATATATTTGTCTGAAATTTTCAAGAAATCTAATTTATAATTTAAAAACATTTACAGGCTTAACATTACAGAAGGATGAAACCTGAGTGCCTAATGGTGGAAGAGCTGAGAAGGAGAGAGACAGTTTTCTCTGCAGAACCCCAGAAGGGCTCAGAAAATAGAAGCATTTTGTATTGCAGGAGGTGGTGTGCAGGGCAGGACTGAGGCCAGCAGATGAGTGGAGGAAATGTAAAAGGAGCAGGTAAGCTACCTGATTCCTTCCCCAACCCTGATAGGAGAAGGTAGGTTTACTCACCAGAAAATTATGGGGACAACAGGTGTGGGGATAAGGTGCCATCTGAAAGGGTAGGTGATTAAAATGTTGGAAGAACAGGATTCAGAAGTAGGGAGGGGCAGGCTGGAGGACTACTATTTTTTATTTTAAGCCATGTGATAGTATTTGATGTTTTATTTCTATTTTTATTTTTAGACAAGGTCTCACTCTGTTGCTTAGGCTAGAGTACAGTAGCATAGTACTCTATGCATACAGTATATACATAGCATACAGTATAGCTCACTGTAGTACTATGTATGTATACACTATGTATATACTGTATGCATACATATATACATATACTGTATATACATAGCATACAGTATAGCTCACTGTAGCCTCGACTTCCCAGGCTCAGGTGATCCTCTCACCTCAGCCTCCTGAGTAACTGGGACTACAGGTGTGTGCCACCGCACATGGCTAATTTTTTGCATTTTTTTGGTAGAAACAGGGTTTTGCCATGTTGCCCAGGCTGGTCTCAAACTCCTGAGCTCAGGTGATCCAACTGTCTTGACCTCCCAAAGTGCTGGGATTACAGGCAGGAGCCACCACACCTAGCTGTGTTTGACTTTTGTAAACCAAGTACACATATTGTTTAGATAAAAATATGAAGCAAACTTAAAGAAAACAACCACAACCTAAAATTAAGTCTCTTCTGGATGTGGTCACTGAAATGGCTTTCTACACCATGGTCCAGAATGAAGACTAGGAAGCAGCTTCCCTGGGAGCCCATAGTCTCTCCAGGGGAAAGTCTTGTCCCTCAAATCTGCAGGTGTCACACCCTGCCATGTCAGTGGGGCCAGGCCTCAGGGAGAATAGATATTTTGTCCAGGGAATAAAGGGTATTCCCCTTGTAATGACTTCACTATTTCTCCTCAACTTAGTTCTTCTCTCATTTTCCCCCCAAATGCAATCATCTATCATTTACCCTGGACTTGTTTCAGGCTACACTATTTATAACAATGGAAGCAGCATTTTTGGCTTGTCACCTTTCTCCAAAGGAGCACGGATTGTCTCTAAACCTTTAGTGTGCATACTGTGTACTTGGGAACCTAGTTAAAATGCTAGGTCTGGCCGGGCATGGTGGCTCAAGCCTATAATCCCAGCACTTTGGGAGGCCGAGGCGGGTGGATCACGAGGTCAAGAGATCGAGACCATCCTGGTCAACATGGTGAAACCCCGTCTCTACTAAAAATACAAAAAATTAGCTGGGCATGGTGGTGTGTGCCTGTAATCCCAGCTACTCAGGAGGCTGAGGCAGGAGAATTGCCTGAACCCAGGAGGCGGAGGTTGTGGTGAGCCGAGATCACACCATTGCACTCCAGCCTGCGTAACATGAGTGAAACTCCATCTCAAAAAAAAAAAAGAAAGACAAATGATGCTAGGTCTGGAGTGGGGCTGCCGCAGGGGAGCTGCTGCAAGGGGAGTCTAATGCTAGTCCCTGGAATATACTCTGAGTAGCAAAAGGACATGAGGCAACTTTTTGAGGGTGATGGAAATGCTCTAAATTTTGATTGTGGTTACATGGAATATATACATTGATCAAAACTCAATGAGTTTATTGCATATAAATTATACCTCGATAAAGTTGAGTTTAAAGGTAAAAACCCATTCTAGATGAATTACAGACGTAAATGTGAAAGATGAAACAATAAGGCTTTTAGAAGGAAACGTAAGCCTTGGGATAGGTGAATGCTTCTTAAACAGGACTCAAAACAAATTAAGTATAAGAAAAAAATAAACACATGAATTGGTCTGCATTAAAATTAAGAACTTCTGTTCATCAGCAGATTATTTAGAGAGTAAAAAGGTTAGTCATAAACTGAAATAAAAAAATTACAATACATATATCTGACAAAGAATTTTATGTCTATCATACTTAAAGAACTACTACAATTCAATAAGAAAAAGACAACCCAATAGAAAAATGGGCAAAACACTTAAACAGGCACTTTGCAAAGGAGGCTAACTAAAATGGCCAATAAACACATGAAAATACACCCTAATTAGTCATAAGCAAAATGCACATTAAAGCCACAAAATTATTTGTTTTGACTAAACGCCTTCCAGAATGGCTAAAATTAAGAGACAGATAATACTGTGTGTGAGTAAGAGTGAGGAGCAATTTGAACTGTCGTCCATTACTAACGGGAGTATAGATTGAAACAACATCCTTGAAAAACTATTTGGTAGTATTTATTGGAGCAGAATAGAAACATATTCTAAGATCCAGGAAATCCACTTTTGAATGGCCAAACACAGGTTTCCAAAAGACACATAAGAATGAATGCTTGGCTGGGCATGGTGGCTAATGCCTTTAATCTTAGCACTTTGGGAGGTCAAGGCAGGAGGATCACCTGAGCCCAGGAGGTTGAGACCAGCCTGGGCAACAGAATGAGACCCCCCACCCCCAACTCTATCCAAAAGAAAAAAAAAAAAAAAGAAGAAGAGGAATGAATGTTTATGGCAGCATTATTCATTGTAGCCAAAAACTGGAAACAACTCAAATATCCATCAATAGTAGTATAAATAAAATGTTATACTACTTATTGGCAATAAAAAATGAATTGTTGGCAATAAAAAATGAAGGCACTACTGCTGCAAGCAACAACATGGATTAAGCTAGGGTTGCCAGAAGAAATAGAGGACAATCAACTAAATTTAAATTTTGAATTAAAAACAGATGATTTTTTTTTATTTGAGAGAGTCTCACTTTGTTGCCCAAGCCAGACTGGAGTGAAGCGACATGATCTCCGCTCACTGCAACTTTTACCTCCTGGGTTCAATCAATTCTCCTGCTTCAGCCTCCTGAGTAGCTGGAATTACAGGCACCCACCACCATGCCAGACATTTTTTATTTTTAGTAGAGACAGGGTTTCACCATGTTGGCCAGGCTGGTCTCGAACACCCAGGCTCATGTGATCTGCACTCCTAAGATGCAGTACATCCACTCTTGAGTGGCCAAACACGTTTCCAAATGACACAAAAGAATGCATGTTTGGCTGGGCATGGCGGCTCATGCCTTTAGTCTCAGCACTTTGGGAGGCCAAGGCAGGAGGATTATCTCAGCCCAGGAGGTCGAGACCAACCTGGGCAACACACTGAGACCCCCCCCCCCACAAAAAAAAAGATGACGAAGAAGGAGGAAGAAGAAGAAGGAGGGGTAGGAGAAGGAGGAGGGGAGGAGGAAGGGGGGAGGAGGAGGACGAGGAGGAATGCTTGTAGCAGCATTATTCATTGTAGCTAAAAATTGGAAACAACTCAACTTGTTGTTGGGATTACAGATGTGAGCCACCGCGCCCAGCACAAATAATTTTTTTTTAGCACAAGAATGTCCTATCCAATATTTGGGATGTACTTATACTAAAAAAATCTTATGCTATTCAATGTTATTATTATTATATTACAATATTATGTTTTAGCTGGTCATGTTCTATTCCTTGAGCTGGGTGTCACTGGGGGACATGGGTGTGTTCACTTTGTGAAAATCCACTGAGCTACACACTGAGGATGTGTGTGTGTCTCTTGTGTGCACACGATACTTCAATACAAAGTTTATCTAAAATCAAAATGAAACTATTCCTGGCCCCTGTCCCATTAAAGGAGGGCCTGCCTCTTGCCTTGAGGGTCCCATCTGTTGTGGTCTCTGCTGCCTGTGATCTCTGTAACTTGTGCATCCATCCTGCTTGCAGCCGCTGCTCAGAACGCCCCGGCGGCGCACCCTTACCCACAGGACAGCATCTGTCCTCCTTGGCACAGCACCCCAGGGCTCCTGTGGCCTCCCCTGCCCCATTTCCACATCCTCACATCTTTTTTCCAGTGCTGACAGTAACCACACCACCACAGCTCTGTGCCTGCCGCTTCGCCGACTGCCCTGCCAGGCAAAAACCTATTTATTTTCCCAGTCTCATTTCAGCTTCTGTCAGCTCTGGGAGGTCTTTCCTGACTCCTTCAGGCAGACCTGTCTGTTCCTCTCCCCAAAGTCTGTCTTCATTTCCAGCAACCGTTATAGCAACTCCATTACTTCGCAACTGACTGTTTATACGTCTGTCTCCTCCTCAGACGACAGGCTTGCTGGGGTGGGGACCCTGTCTTTCTTTTTATCCCTAGCAACTCACAGAGTGTCTGCGCATGGTAGACTCTGGGTAGGTGTTAAGTGGGTCATGACAGTAATGGGTGTTAATGAATGGGGACTAGCAGAGAGGTTTAAGGGCTTTGTAAAGGGTTCACACTTAATTTTAGAATTGGAGATTGCAAAAACCCTGTCTCTACAAACAAAACAAAAACCAAAAATTAGCTGGACATGGTGGTGTATGTCTGTAGTCCCAGTTACTCAGGAGGCTGTATTGAGAGGATCACTTGAGCCTGAGAGGTGGAGGCTGCAGGGAGCCATGATCCTATCTTTGCATTCCAGTCTGGGAGACAGAGCGAGACTTCATCTAAAAAAAATTAAAAAAAAAATTTTTTTTTAAAAGGCCTGGTGCAGTGGCTCACACCTGTAATCCCAGTACTTTGGGAGGCCGAGGCAGGTAGATCACCTGAGGTCAGGAGTTCAAGACCAGCCTGGCTAACATGGTGAACCCCATTTCTACTAAAAATACAAAAAGTTAGCTGGGCCTGGTGGCGTACACCTGTAATCCCAGGTACTTGGGAGGCTGAGGCAGGAGGATCACTTGAAACTGAGAGGCAGAGTTTGCAGTGAGCCAAGGTGGTGCCATTGCACTCCAGCTTGGACAACAATAGTGAAAGTCCATCTCAACAAAGGAAAAAAAAGAAGGAAGAAAGAAAGAATTGGAAAGGGTGCTCTCAGTCACTCTGCTAATGAGTGGCCAGTGTCTTATTTAATTTCCCTGGAGAAGGGTGCTGGTCCTATCCTCATGGCACGGATAGGAAGAGAAGTGCTGAGCAACTCAATGGCTCCTCCAAGGCCACATGGCCAGCACATAGCAGACCACACTCATGGCACTGGCTGTTCTGTGAATCACAGCGGATGCTGAATCTCTAAAATACCCTCCTGGGACAGCAAGTCAACAGAGGAAGTGCCCACTCTGCCCCAGGCCACCTTTTGACTCAGGCAACCTTTCTGGTACCTGTCAAATCAGTCCCTGTGGGTGGACACCCCCTCTCCCATGAAATGGCCCATCGGGAACGGGGTAACACCTCAGATACCTAAACACAGCGTTCAGCTCCGTCCAGAGACTCTCAACTCCTGCCTGAGATTTTCAGGTTTTAAACAAAACAAAAATCTGATTCACTGTTTCCAGTCCTACAGGAAACTCAAGTCCTTTATTTATCTGCCACTAAAAAAAGAAGAAGAAAAAAAAAATTGTCAAACCAAAAAAAAAAAAACCCTTTATGTCTTACAAGGGTTTTGAATGCATCTCAATTCATATAGCACGAAACACTGTTCATGACAGAGGCTCCAGGATGAAGCCCAGACTAAAAGACAGAGGGAAATGAAACTCATTACAATAAAACACACACGCTAATAAATAAGGGTCTGGGTAATGAATCCAGCTCAGAATATACCACTGGCAAGAAGAAATGCCCCAAAGCTTTGCTTAAACCAAATAATAGAACAACAGATGGCCCCTCTGGGTCTCTGGGAAAAGTTAATAGATACAGGATGCTGCAGAGAGAGGCTCTGTTTGGGATTTGGGCAGAAAACACAGGGCATTAACAACATTCAAGGTGAAAGACAAAGGGCTTGTAGATTTAGGGACAGGGACATTTTCATCAGATAATAAAACGATATGTCTGGATATCTCCGCTGGGTTCTCACAGGCTTTGGGGCATGTCCCCACTCCAGAAATTAATCAGGGCTGCGCTCTGCAGCATGCCAGGGAGACCGACTGCTCCTAGCTGCCCAACTGGAGAATTAATTTAACTCCAGAGATTTGGATAACAAGAAGGAACCCTTAAGGGAGTTAAAAATTTACTTTGGCAAGATTTTTGTCCCCATCCATTGTACAGAAGTGGTGGGAACAGTAGGTGGGAACTCGAAGCTCTGGGTTCTGTGGTGCAAGACCCTCTGGTCACTGATTAGCTGAGTGACCCTGAAGAAACCTTCCAGGCTGCCACCTGTCTGGCGGTGTTAAGAATGCTGGGATCCATGGACACAGGGAGGGGAACATCACACATCGGGGCCTATTGCGGGGTGGAACGCAAGGGAAGAGAGAGCATTAGGATACATACCTAATGCATGCAGGGTTTAAAACCTAGATGACAGGGCCAGGTGCAGTGGCTCACGCCTGTAATCCCAGCACTTTGGGAGGCCGAGGTGGGTGGATCATGAGGTCAGGAGATCAAGATCATCATGGCCAACATGGTGAAACCCCGTCCCTACTAAAAATACAAAAAAAATTAGCTGGGCATGGTGGCGGGTGCCTGTAATCCCAGCTACTCAGGGGGCTGAGGCAGGAAAATCACTTGAACCAGGGAATTGGAGGTTGCAGTGAGCCAAGAATCCGCCACTGCACTCCAGCCTGAGGACAGAGCAACACTCAGTCTCAAAAAACAAAAACAAAACAAAACGAAAAACTAGATGACAGGTTGATGGGTGCAGCAAACCACCATGACACATGTATGCCTATATAACAAA